ATGTTCCAGGAAGAAACGGTGAAGTTCTGACACCGCAAGATTAGAGCGTTATACAGTAATGATATGAAGGAAGTAGGTGTAGCTCTCGACGACCATGGCGTGCACGCCTATACAATCACAAACCCTTAAAATACACGGTGACTCTAAGTAGGCATCGATGAGAGGTAATCAACTTAAGTCATTAGTACAGCGTTAATGGGCGGATTGGTCGAGTGGCTGACACTCCGGCCTTCCTTGCAGGCGGCCGGGGTTCGACCCCATAGGTCGTCGTACTCATGGATGTTCTGAGAAAGTGTTTTGCTCCTGCCCACAAAACTCCAACAACCCAGGTTGAGTATAAATTGGTCTGGGGTGGATGTTGCGGTATCTGTGCTGTAGCATTCAAGTAAGGTGGCACTATAAATGATGCCGTTGGAAGCACGGTCCCACTTCAAACAGATCACATTACATCTCAAGCACACACAGGCATACACACAAAGGGAGATATTAGCCAGGTGGCAAAGGACCAGTAGTTAGCGCCTGATAAGGCAGCTCCTGCGAGTTTCCTCAAAAATTGTATTGATTGTATATATATGTACTGTCAAGCGCTTTAGAGTGGCGTATGTTAGCTAGATAGGGCGATATATCAAATGCTGTATATTATCATTATTATTATAATGTCACCAAGACAATAGCAAATTTACATTTTTAGGACTTTCGTCTAAAAATTTCTTTGAAATTTAACTACAAACATAAATACAGAGAACATACGAAAAGAGACAAGTTGTCTCGGTTAATGAGTCGTGGCGGTACTCTGTGAAGATGCGAGATGGGAGCAAGACAGTCCGCGTGCCAACAACTAGCTAATCATGATCAGAGAGATGGAAAAGTCACAAGACGTTTTAATTAGCAGGGAGTCGAGACATCAACACTAGACGTCTGTCTTTGGCGTGTTCGTGTATAACAGATATATTGACTTTCTAAGTATGTAATCCAAATGATAGGCTCGTGTATACATATATGTAATCAAAACGCTCGCGAGGCCTGTGTATATATCGAGCGTATATGTAGCTATGACTAGGCATAAATTGTATTACTCGTGTTTTTCGTCAAAAGATTAGGCACCACGTCCAGATTGTACTTAAGGACGAGAGGGGGACAAATATCCTAATTTCCATCGGTCGTACTCTAATATAGAATGAGCGACTATGTACTTGCTTTGTGCTTAGTAGTATAAGGAAATATCTGTACCAGTTACCTGGTTTGATAAAAGATAGTGTCTGTTTTGTGTCTATTGACGGAATGTCTACATGCTGTATAGGTATATATTTAAACCGAATTTGTAAATTTTTCAATTCAAACTGAAAATGAATACCTTTTACGAAAATCGTGTATCTGTCTAGCTCATATCTTTGACCCCAAAAATGTACCTTCAAAACAGCGAAGTGTTTTTTTTCTGATTCATATAAGCCCATAGGCTATTACAAAGATTAACCGATGGTCGTTGAGTTAAAAAAAAAAAAACACATTTAAACAAAATTGTTATTATTAAAAAACAAACAGTAAGTGTAAATACATATTACGACTTTAAATACCTAGTCACCTAATCGACGGAACCTATGATGCCTACTAGCTTGAGTGTAATTCTACTTAGCATAGAAGCACAATCCCAAAGAATTTTAGTGCAAATCTGTATGGATGAGTGGCACTCGTTTGATCTACACAGCGTGTGACGTCGGAGGTTGTTCCCCGAGGATTACAACCTTAGTACACACCACACCTAAAAGAGTCACGATATCCACCCTTGAATTCGACCATGTCTTGTTGAAAGGGAATCTTAACATTTTGGTGCCGACCAATGTTACATTCGCGGTATTGGAGTGAAGAGGTAAATGGCGGTCGTTAAACCTGACCCCGACATTCGAGCAGTGCCACGGTGTCTTTTGTCATTGCCGTTATTGAGATTATTGGCACAGCAGGTATTGGCAGTTGTCTCCCACATGCTCCCAACTATTTCCTGTCGCGACCCCGGTGCTGATAATATCTTTCATATAAAACTTTCAAAAATGCACCCCTTTGGCCTTTTTACCTTTTCCAAGTGCTGTTTGTGATGAAAATGTAATTAATTTTTCAAATACGGTTAGTCCGTTTCTCGCGCTGTAAGGTCCAACTCATTCATTTTTACTTTTATCATTAAATAAACTTTTTCCGAGCTAGACATTTACGCTTATCGAATGGCGTTATAGAGACCACCTGATAGGCATACCATTAATATAAGGTGGGCGTTTATTCTGGTACATAGCTATTTGTATTGTCAGGGCGATTATCAAATAGGTCCGGAAATTCTTTTACCGGCCACTGACAGTGTATTAAGATGGATTATGCAAATTAGTTGATCTTCCCATTAATTCTTCAGCCTGTGGTCGGCTTTTGAGACAGTGACGTCAACGAGAAGACAAGCCATAGGCTGACCCCATGAAACACATTAAGCGTTAATCAACGCGAGTAAACTTACAAATGTATGTTATAACGATTGTATATGACGCTTAAATCTAAAAAAACAAAATGCCCTACTCAGCCTAACTCGTCATATTAGCACTTCCTCAATACAGCTCTTGATATTTCGTGATGATGTCACATCTGCTGTCAGTTTCGGGATAAAACATAAATGTCGGGTTAAAGACTTCTTGTTTGTGATTCGATTTTCATTGATACTTCGGAGCGATTTTCACGCGAGCAGACCGTTTTAGGGAAGTTTAAAAGTGGGTGTTACATGATCATTATTTAATCACTCTGTAAAAGAGCAATGTTTCCTTTTTAAACACCAATGTGAAGTTTTGTTAAAAACAACGAAAACATGTGATGGTCAAAAAACGGACAACAGAACGACACAGAGGTTACCATAAGCCTTTGATCATCATTCGATGAACGAGTGCTTTTTTCTAACAGAAAGGCAGAAAAGTATTGCCACTCTTAATTTGACTAGTGATAGAAGCGATAATGCACATTGTCATTGTTTGCAGTTAATCTTAGTGACAACAGCATGGCTTTACAAGTTTCCAGTATTTATTTAACTTTAGTGTAACTGCGGCTTTCTTAAACGCTATCTACGTATCCAGTATTTATGCAGTGTGATACACAGGTTTCCAGTGTATAGTTGAACACAATGACAGCATTATTTAAGAGAGGCAACATAGGTATTCCTCGCTATGGAGTGTAATCATAACATTAGTTGATATTCGTACTTACGCCTCTCAATATTCCTTTCTCTGATTCTGTTTTACCTGCGAGTCGTTAGTGATGTATACAGTCTATACACAAGAGCCAATCAGAAGGACTGAATGAAAGAATAAGCAAATTAATGTATTCTTCATTACATATGCCTTTATAATGAACTCATAAGTCATGAAAAAGATAGCTTATCATCATGCGGATGTACACACCTGCCTTACCTAGAGAACACCTGTTCGTACATACCACGTGTCTATTACTTTTTCCACTTGTCTATAATTCATGCTGAGCTTGTGTGTTCTCTCGTCACCCAAATCCTCATTCCCCTCTGTCTTGGCTGCTTTTAAAAAACATCAGTGAATACGTTTATGACTTTGATAAACCGGACGCATCGTGTACCTTTCATACAGCTGAATTGCCAATACCTAACGGAACACTTTTAGACAAGAATTTATGTAATATGTTTTACACGATATTTAATAATTAAATTTCGTCGTGTCGCGTACACATTGTGCATTGTTTTGGCGTTAGTACATGTATGCACAGGTAAAAACAGTTTTACCATTGCTCTTTATACATAATAAACGAAATATGTTCAGTGAATTAGAAGAGACCGTCACAAAATTATTTTCGATACAATAAGCATGGTGAAATTGTAGGACAAGGTTCATACGTAATGAAATCAAACAATTACTTATCACCTGCGTTATCGCAAGAAGGCAAATACACCAACCCACCGCCTTCAACATTCACACCAAACCACCGCCTTCAACATTCACACACAAGTTCACGCATACATTACACACATGGAGGTAGGTCCTTAATGACCTCAGCTGTTTACACGACTTGTATCCTAATCAAACTAAACTAAATCAGACTACACGTAAACGAATCTCGTGTTTGTAGTACTATGTACCACAGCCAGGGCCCTGATAATTTGTTACAGCTATATTTGGACCTAAACTAAGGTGTTCAGAGTGATTTTACATGTTTTAGGGGTTTAGATCGGGTTTGGGGGGAAATGCCCCCCCCCCCCCTCCCCACAATAAACACATAGTCCGTGTGGTACTATGTACCACGTTTAAGTCTACGCTATAACTAGTCTACATCTAAGATACCAATCAATGAAGTTATTACTCCTTACAGCAATATACTATATATTGTTATCAGTACTGAAGCCTTTAAGTAAATCTGGATAGGAATACTGTATCACACCCAATGTCACCACGCGCGCGTCTGATCTTTGTCTGCCCTTGTGCATCAGGTAACTTCCGCGAGCGGTAAACTTAACACCTGTCGTAGGTAAATCAATACACATTACGCCACAGCCTTTCTCCTAACTGTTGTAATAAGTTAATATCATAGTGGTATTCAGACACGACGTCTGTAAGGTATGTCCCACAAATATGCCAGGAATGTTACTGGCATTCCGTTCTATGTCGGTTTTTTTTACTATTATGTAAAGATATGAATGGGTCGATCAAGGAGATCGTATATACCTTTCCTGTCGCCACCTAGTAGTGAGTAATACAGGTTCGCTAACAATCCTCGGGTTGTTTTGTTTTCATTTGTGTACAGGTTCTTTCCTGTTTCCATGTAAGGCTGTCTGAACCCTAAAGGATACACGTTGTCCTACACATCGCGATATAGCTGCCATCTGTTGTAGGAGTGAAGTGCGTATATTATTCATGTCAACGCTGATGGGGGATTTCCCACACTCCTGACAGCGCATGGCTGTGATTGGTCGTTAAATATAGAGCTACGTCATATATTCCCTAGGTGGACGAAAGCCTGATAATCATTCATAGTATAGGCTACTTAGCTTGTGTTCAGACGTAACATAGAACGATAACGTTACGCTACACTACACCCACGTTGTCCGAGGACTGAGCTTTAAATTACCGGCATACCACAAACAGTTCAGTACACCACTGACTGTAGACATTTAAACACTACCACGACATCGTATTCAGTAATTTTAATAACTCGACAAGATGATTCTCAGCAGTGTTAACTTGATCAAAAAAAGTCATTGCCATACTAATAACCACAACAACAACCATCAGTTCAGTGATTTTATCCTTGGCAAGATTAAAGAGGACCAGGATAAACGGGAGAAGAAATGTGCAGGCACTGCTCCCTACGGGTCCAGGCACGGAAAACAGATAAAGGTAAGATGTCATTTCAATATTTCTAAAATTATTTTGATGTGAATTTATATCTTTTGTTATTTAAACATGCGAAGTTTTATATGTTGTTTTAAATCCATGCATGTCTGTCTGTCTGTCTGTCTGTCTGTCTGTCTGCGTTAAATCACGCATATACAGATAGCTATCTGTCTACAACTGTCGTGTGAAGAATCTGACTGATATTTTATACGATATGTGGTGACACGTAAAAACACCTATTTATTCTGTACTGATGAAAAATCCTACAAATTCCAGATCAAACGTTGCTATAACTATATACTGTACAACAATGAAAGACAGACATTATGCATAAAAAATCTTTATTTAACGTCGTGTACAAATGTACAAATACTGATCAAATTTCTCACCTATAGTCTTGTATATATAGCTACAACCAAGTCTGATTATGTCTGATACAACACATTGGTGAGAGAGAAAAGGATGAGCACACTAGATTTATGCTTTGGAACTCGGTGACATACTTCACCAAAAAAAGTCCTGGAAGCATTAATTGATTTTTCCTGCCGGTAACCAACATCGGTTTGTGCCACAGCAGGTGATGTCGACACCCTGCTGGAATGGCTACTGCCAAGTCTATTTCACGTGAAATAGACATTATTTTAATTGCATGCACATTGTTTTGCTTTAGCCAGACTTAGGTCCAGACAATGTCTACCCTCTTGTATGTTTATAACGCGTTCTAGTATTTAGTCTAGATTTGTACTTGTATATGTTCCAAGTTGATAGCTGGTTTCTTGGGAATAACAATGATATGATTCAACCGATACATATTACTTAGTCACAATGGTGCCTGTATATATTCCCATCGCGTGCTCAGATTCCATACAATACAAACCTTTATTACATCATCGATTGTACTGATATTTCTTGTTTTTCTTTCACGCTATTATGACGTTAAGAAATATTTACTGTATACACATGACAAATCAAGTGGAATTTGATGGTGATTCATTTCAGTGTATTGCTATCACAACAAAACCATAGCAAGATATTTGTCTCCCATTCTTATATAATGATTATGTAAGGAAGAGAGGACCATGCGACCGTTCAATACGAGGGCCGGGTCACTAAATATAGCGAAACTGTTTTAACTGAATACATGTAGTTTAGTTTGGTTTGGTTTAGTATTGTTTAACGTCCTATCAACAGCTATGGTCATTTAACGCCTTGTATTCCGACGGTCCGGTATCATAGCATTTTAATGAGAATCTAACTAGAGGCCCTGAAATCATAATAAATTCCTTTATCGTTAAATGTGTTTGAGGTATGTCCTTAGCTTGTTGATATATATATATGAAGAACAAATGTACAATAATATTTCATTGTTTAGTTTTTTATGTAAATATTCACATCCTGATATTTCAATACCGGTCTGTCCGATCGTTAGATAGGAACGTTTTGTGTTACATTCCTAGGTAGATATGCCATATAGAGAGATAAAACATGTCTAGCAGATCACGTGCGACTACAACATTATCTACTTGTTAATTACATGTGTATGTTTGTAGATAGGTGTCTTAAAACAATGATATATTTTATAACCGTTCATGTATTGTCTTGGAAGAAATATATATACCACCGGTAATTCCTTATGTTTGTTGCGTGCTTATATAGACGTAACGCTCGCGCCATTCATTATTTGATGCACATATATGTGTACAATATCATACATGCACGCCTCGCCATCCGCTTTATATGGCGTGTGTATATAAAACGATAGTAAACGGGTCCTTATATGGCAAAGTAATTGTCAGTTCATATATACATGCTTAAATGACATCGCGTCATATCGTCATGTAAAGTTTCACAGGAAATGCTGAGATATCAATGATGAAATTAAAAACTAAAAATATTCAAAACACAACTATGACAAATATTGTACTGTAGCATGAATCGGGAAATACTTGAACAACGTGAGCGTGAATAAGTCAACGAAACGTCATGTTCATCAAGATTATTCTGATGAAATTTCCGCAACGTGCCCATCAGTCGTCTAACGTGACCAGGAATGTGTATTATATAATGAGATTTACTAATTTGCTTTACTGTCACAGACACAGGGGCCAGGGACGTGTTCATTTGAAATTGTTGATATCAAATGTCTTCTTTCGTTTGATTTCACTCCCACGATCAAAACTGTTTTCCGTTTGAAACATAAATAATATGGGATAGAAGACAAGGGAGACATACATGTTTTATCATCGTTTTAAAATTCAATGGAATAATATATACACTGTATCGATAAGAGTTACCAAGTGTCATATATCCTGCCGATAATAACGATAATAATTGTAAATAATTGAACACTTGTTTCCTGTGCATTGTACTAACAATATCGGTGGTACATTCCGATATTGATTGGTTCGTGGTGGTAATGAAGTAGACAAAAACACCCGCAGTCGACTTTCCTGGCAACGGGCGAACTCTCCCGTCTCTAAGATAAACAATTTACAACAGAGAACGTTTTCATCTTTAGATACAACGATGTACTTTTATGACAAATACTACGATTAGATTGAGCTCATTAATATTCAAATTTATGCAGGAATCTTAATCTTAGCTGATCGTTAATAAACATTTGGTACATATGTATAGCTGTCGATAGGGTTATACATATCTGACCTTATCGACACCTGTTTAAGCGATCAGAAATAAACTAATATTGTCTGATATCAAGCTAAATTAGCTTTTACTAATAAGGATAGACTTAAAGTTTTGTCAAGTACACCTGTAGAATTTGGACAGGTAAAGCGTGTATGGGTGATTAGTGAGTTTAGGAAGTTTAATGAGTACAGCACGGCCTGTCGTAGAACCCCTTCTACAAAATCCAGTATTTAAAACAAAAATCCGTTTGATAGTTTAAGCTTGTCGCTAGTGATTTGAAGTTTAACGTACAAGTCGGGATTGTAATCGGATTCGTTGAAATGAGAAACCACAAAAATGCGGTTAGTTAGGCTAGGAGAATACCTGCGGTTGACCAGATGCCAACATACAGGTGTTCTAGTGAGTTTCTCTTGTGAGAAAATATGATCAAATATTGGCCAAGTGGGTAGGGAGTAGTGTTAAAATTCTTTCTATGCAAATGTTGAGAGCAACTGAAAAGGGATATATAATCAGTTCATAATAGCAAGTGTATACACGGTGACATCAATCCTGTCAAACAAGTAAATATGGGTCAAACTCATCTTGACTTTTAAACCCACGTACATTTTTGTAACACCCAATTTCTGCAAAAATTGAAATGGATCGGTATTTTTATTAGTCTAAAGTAGTTTGTACAAGAGGCGTTTCTGGGCCAGTAATACATAGTTGCGTCTATTTTTATTTATTTAGTACGAAATAGATTCGTCTAATGTCTGAAATGGCTAGCTAGTACGGACTAAATCTTTAGAAAAACTCAAACTAATATGTAGATCAATGATTTCTATAATATTGGTGGTAGGTCTAATACACTGTTAAATCAGAACGTCTGTGTTTATCTAAAAAGTATACCATGTATCGTTTACAAAACGTCAATAAGTTATCTTAATTTAGTGATATCTAACATGAAAATCACGCCTTCAGGGCTATTTTTATAAATACATGTCCTTATAAATTATTTTTGTTCAGTTCGGCAATCGTAAGTGGAGTTAACGCTATCGATACGTCTATATTTACATAAGATATATACCATGTAACGCAGCCACAAAAAAAAATGCTCTGGTAATTTCGGATATATTTAACAGATTTAAACATTAATCCCATAAATTAAAGATATACATATAACTACTTGAGTAAATATTACCGTTCTCGTTCTCGAGAGAGATTCGTTAAAATATTGATACTAAGTTTTATAGTAAATAATAAAAAAAATATAGACCATGTTTCATGTAATATAGAACTAAGGGTTTTACTTATTGTCTTGCCCGCTGTCGGTATATTGAGAACGGATTATTATTGGAATGGCAATTTATTTATTATTAGGCGTTGATTGACTCCATGATCTTTGAAAACGGACTTTGTGTGACCTTTACTGTCTGGAGGACGTATAACCCCAAATAAACAAACATTTTTATCTTTGGATATAATATGACCTCGAAAAGACAAAACAATTAATATTATAATTAATGTAATTTTACAATACTATCAATGCACCTACATGTACAAAATGTATAGTGCTCGTGGGTAAAAGTTGCCTCCGCCTTGAAGATATTGACGTGAAATGTCTATTTCTAGTCACCGATTTCAGTACTGTTGGGATGGGCGTAACCAGTAGAGCTGTAAATATATATGGGGATTTTAAGTCGTTAAATTGATTTCTTCAATTATTGATTCACAGTGTAAACATCCATCTTGTTTATTGAAGCAACTCCCCGTTGACATTTTCTGAAAAAGTTCGTGATGAAACACCCTTAAGACATATGTCTAAACACAATGATCGGCTTGTGACTAACTGTTATTACAAGCCACGGTAACGTTTCTACTGTACATTTTTGAGGCGATTAGAAATGGATGAATCCCCATTAAATAGTCGACATGAACTGATCAGTTGTGTTACATTTGTGGATTTGTCAACAACTGGGCAAAATTTAATTCCTTTTTTTGTCACGCCTTTTTTCTAAAGAGTGAGGTTTTCACCTATGATAACACACTGGGGCGTACAATACACTGTTAATGTTACACCTATCTTAATTGAGTTGTCTCGTGATAAGCGTCTCTTATGAGTTTCAAAGTAAAGGGAGTTGACCCCTCTAGATTAGGAAACTTTATGTAAATATCGTGGTCATGTGAATGATTTATAGGTTTTTCAAAGCTTGTTTCGCTATATTTGTATCCCGTCAACCTTTTAACAATTGTATTATTTATGTATCATTCATGTACGTAAAAGATCACAAATGTTTTGATCAGAATACACCAGCACATACAGTACCATACGGTAGGATATAAAATTAGAAACTACGTAATGAAAGTTTTCAGTTCCTCGTTCTATATTGCTGATGAAACTACAGTGACATGTACATACCGGCCCCTATGTAGACTTACGCCGACCGTTGCAAGTTGTGTTTATTTATATCTGTGATGAAACGTTACCTGTAGCTAGGCACGGTGTACCTGAAATAACTCACAACAATGTAAAGTCATGTCTATTTATAGACGACCTAGATGATAAGGCGAAGGTATAATGAAGGCTACAGACAGATTTAACAGTGTTATATATCGGGTCTCGTGAAATATGTATAGCCTCACCTTGTTCCACGAAATCTCGGTAGGTATTTCAAGAAATCACTGAAACATAAACGAATGGAATGCTAGTATGTTACTTTGTGGAACTAAACAAATAAAAATTTGAGTATATCTTTGCAACAAACAATTATTTATTCCCGTTTAATAGCACGGGGCCTAGAAAATTATTATAGACTTGTGTCCAATCCCTTCGATTTTTTTTTATGTTTTATTTATTTTTTACCAAATAATATCGATTTTTTTTTTTATCTCTGAACGATGGAAAATAACACGTACACTTCCACCAGGAAAACATATATTACTTTCGTGTATCCTAACTATAAGGCGATCAGCAGTACATAATATCACCAGGAAAAATGCCAGGTAAGCATTATATCGTTCATTAAGGGATGGTTCCGACTCTAACTTCCGGTGCAGCCAACAGGCGGTCACGGCAACTGACTTTTTAACACTAAACACCATGCTCAGCGTAGCATGGTTAAAAGAAGGAGTTCCCCTTTAAGTAATTTGAGGCTTGAGGGGACAGGAACTGCCCTTTTGCTTTTGCTAAACAGAGAAAATGTCCTTTAATTAAAGAGTGGGGAAGATGTGTTATCAATTGAGCAGAGGCCGTCAGTGCATCGTCGTTTCGTAAATTGAAGGTGCAGCGTTAAATTTATTCACGACAGGGTCAATTATTATTTTTATTAAGTTCATTGAAGATCTCGACCTCGAACGGAAGTTTGTGTTTAAGTGCTTTGCTCGGAAACGCGTGTATAAAGTTAAATCTAAACGTTTTCACGTGTACAGACAACTATTTAAACGAACCGTCCCATGTTTAAATAAATGCACAGTCTATGTGGGCGTGAGAGACATTCTAATCCCGCAGACAATTGCCGGGGCGGAAAACATTCGAGACGTATTTTAAACAACTCATATGCACAATATACAATTTGTAAAGTTTAATTCATAAATCTAGTTGTGATTATAAAACTTAACTAATCCTAATGTCTTGCACTGCATTCCTGTACATTATTTCATTAAAGGAATCTTTTAAATGGTTTCCGTGATCATGACGATTTAAGCCACAGTATAGACACACTGTACGCCGTACAAGGCACTGACCAGAAGATAAATCACCACTCCCGGTTGTAATGCTACGCACCGCTACACGGCAGATTAATAGGTTTAAAAAATAATACTAAATTTTTAAATGGTTTAAGTGGACTTTAAACTTAATTTATTGCACCAGATACAAAAGGAATATATTTCATTCATAAATCTGGCATCTCATCAATGTGCACGTAATTTAAACATACCGATCGTCCCGATAACATACCTCTTGTGTCTGTGATTATGAAATAATATACATCTGTTGTATAGACTAGGGCCGAGCAAACTGAACTGACAATAACCTTGGGATATTTTACCGTATATGATAAGTCATACCAGCCTTCATAATTGAATATAAATGAAATTAAACTTTTGAAAAAGGAGACGTCGGTCAGGTTACAAACGTTATTACAAGAGCTAACATGAGCCGCGAACACGTTGGAAACCGTCCGCGTCTGCGGTTTGTATACTGTATTTCAGTATGCTTCATTACTTGAATTGTTTCAATCTTGTGCTCGAGGTGGGGGGCAAAGTGCTACAAATGAGGGGTGTTTCACATGATATTGACAATTCACGTGAATATTACAGAATAAACAAAACAGTAATTTTGTCTGTTAAATAAAGAGCTGATATTCCAATTCCCCACATGTACAATGATCTCCTGTCACGACAGCAGTTTACTGTGAGACATATTTGAGGACAAAAACAACACTGTCTGAATTTTCCGTTAAGCACACACGCAGTGTCTGGGACAACCTCATGAGGGTACTAACTGTTCTCGGGGAAAATACCCGACCATACACACGTAAACTCCACTAGTTTTATACCTAATTCCACAACGCGGAACTCAAATACGCTGGAATCCCTTACAGACCTCCGGGAAGGACCCCCCCAGGGGCGAATGAATTTCAGAACTTTCGCAAACAACGGAATTTATTGTTTCCCAATATTTGTTTGTGTGTAAAACTAAATTCGATAGGCATTTGTTTTGACACAGCGACGCTCACAGACGGTACCGGATCATGAATATTTTAACACACAAAGTGTTTCCAATACTTCTTCAAACTGTCTTGCGGTTTTATTGGCTACGACGAATGTAGATAAAAACCAATTTTGTGATTGCTATATTTGGACAAGAATTTCTATTCTTACACAGAGAATTGCTCATTTGTGTTGATTAGTGGTTTTGAGTAAACTGATGGTTATTACACTATACCACAGCAGCCAGCACCAGACCTCATAGTGTAGACCGTCCGCTGGTTATTTGATTATCACATATTAATGTGCCTATCTTTTCTCTCTTTCTTACAGGAAGGAAATGGGCCCGAAAATGAAATTACAAACAGTTCCCCCAAAACAGGTGAGTTAGTAAAAATCATCAATTTCAAATAACCCTTCCACGGGAAATAATACCACCAATGTGTGTTTACATGTCAAAATTCAGGAACAATTTTGTGACCCCTCTAAATGAGAAGGCGTTATGCAGTAAGTCGTGTATCAACAAATAACACTATTAACACAGCAGGCTTAACGGCCCATTAATACACAAATGAAGTACACCGTACATTGTGTATATATACTGGCAATAAAGAGTATGATTTTCTCACGGCGTCTGTCTGCGACAAAAGATAAATACATTTTTTTCTCTCTCCTACATGTAGTAACCTTATAGTGACAATTGGCACATCACTGTACACACATCAGTAAGCACTTATGAATGGAAATGATGTGGGATGGAGTTTTCCTGGGTGCGCAGAAGCCTCAGTATGTATTTGATCAACATATTCAATTTGGTAGTGATTATTTAAGTGCATTGTTCTATTCTGTTTATAGGTTCCGTAGAGAAGGGCGTGACGTCTACAGTGACCATACAGACGAGTGACCAGTACTATTTCACACTCCGTCTCGAAAGAGATACGCTCTTCCTGGCCGATACGGAATCTTCATGCCAGACATGTAAGTTCATATTTAAAACATCATATATGTCTGTACGCCAATACAAATCGTCTTGCATTTAGTTAAATTACCGTTAAGACCTACCACGATGTGAAATTCCCAACATCAATACATTAAGATGTGAAGACCATAGACAAGGAATGTCATTAAACAAATGAAGACAGCTGCACCAAAAGAGGTTGCAACTGAAGGACATAAACGTTATTTCCGATATTTCAGTTTCCTTATTTAGCATTAAAGCATGTCCGTTTGATATCCAGTATTTCAGTTTAATTAGTTAGCGTTAAATCATATCCGTTTGACGTCACGTTCCTAGAGAGCGGCTAGCATGGTACATGTATACGTGGGCGCACAGGGAAGACTCTAATCAATGTCTCACAATCCTGGTACTACAAACTCATTACTTTGGTCCAAGATCTATTTAGTGCTAGCTCGTGCCATTTGACGTCATAGGATACACGTTCTTGTGCACGTACAATTTGCTGCTACTCTATATTTATGCACCAGATGTCAGCCTTACGGTGAAAGGTAATTGTTTCAGTCAGAAGAACACACGGACAGTTTTTGCACCTGTAACGCAGACTATACCTGATCGATAACTAACCTGTCCCGTTTCACAGTATTACCTGGTCCTATTGTGGGGATCTTCCCAGACCTCTATACATCACTGTATTGTCCTATTACATGTACCTTGACCATCCGTCAAAACATGTCATTCCTCAAGAACGACGTCGCTTCTGCCAGTGTTATAGAGTGCACAAAAAACACAACAACATTTCTACGGCCGTTAGGTATAGATCAATTAGACTAGGGGCAATGGGATATCTATAATTCAACACCTTAAGCCTAAGGTGCATAGATTTTTTTAAAATGTGGATGACTCTACATATCTGTCAATTAGCCTACATAGAGTTCGTTTTAATTATCTGTCTAGGTTGATAATAGTTAGCACTACATACTAGTGTAATATGGATGTACTTTAAACACCGTTAGGTTGTGTCAACACATGTGTTGAGTGTTACTGTAACCATTATACCTTACCTTGGCAATAGAGAATTGTTTAACATTTTTGCTGAACATATTCGATACTTTACAATTACACAGTCATTGTGTAAGTATATTCCCCACGAGGATAATTACACTCGAGACACCCAATTACACTCAATCGTCCGACATGTAATCCAGAATTGTTAATTTAGAAAAAAAATACATCAAATTTCCGAAAACCTGATTGCACCGTGACTAGCAGTTCCACAGAAAAATATCCAGTTATTATCTCAGTATCTAAAAATAAATCAGATGAAATCAGATCAATTTCTGCTATCATTACTTTTATAAGATGCATTAGTTCGAGAATCTGAAGTGCTCTAGTTCAGTTACTATGGACATGATGATAATACTTCGTGCTACAGCTCTGATAGTCAGTCCCCTGTACAAGTTCTATAGTCACAATAAGCTCGTATGTCAAATCTATTTAACTGGATAGGAGAAGTAGCCAGTAACAGATAGCTTACTTGTTGTATTCTATCCTAGTAATTAAAAATCAAATGTTTTCGGACTGTTATAGAATCAATGGTCTATATTGGTCACTTTGTTAAACTTCCACTAAAGTACAGTAAACAAACGCTTAATTAGGTTCCAAATTGTTCAATAGGGAACTTTTTGCATACCGTATATGTCCAACAATTTCGCTATCCAATAGATACGAAAATTGAATATCTTTACCCGGATTAATGTTTTTCACTTCAATTCTTAGATAAAAAATATATATGGTCCCTTGTATATCCACACGTCCTTTAAATGAACTTAAATGTTCATAGAACGTTATAGACCCTGTACAACCAACCAACCTTGCATATCCAACTACGGAGGCGTCATTCAAGCACATTTACCGTAGACGTATACACGTATATATTATATCCCCCCCCGCCTAGTTAATCGCGTATGTCGGTGCCTTGTTGTGCTAACGAAAGACAATCGATGACAACTGCAAGCTCTGCCGCTCTAACAGCTTTAATCAGGTTAGGCAGATCATCTCGCATTCATGATTAGCTTGTCCTTATCATATATATAGGAATTAGGTTCCGCCGGATTCTATATTTGATTCCGAGTCGTGTTTATCTTGCCCTGTTGATGTCTTTGTTGGTCATGTCATCTTTACTTTGACGCCATCACGAAACTAAATTGATCGTTACCTTCGTCATTAATTAATTAGAAAATCGGCAGTGTTTACCAACTTTAAGCTAATTGACTGATGGTTCCAATGAGTTTGCGTGGGTGATATTGATGACGTGGTACAGTGTAGACATGTATTATATATACACTGATGTCGTTTAAAACACTGGAGTCTGCAGTCAAAGACAAAAGAATTCAAAATCGATAACGTACCTATATATTTACCTGATAGATGATGAAATAAAATGTGTTCAATAATGGTCTGGTTTTAATTCAAAAATACATCTAATGCACTATGTTGTAGTGACCTTTGAACTGAGTAGTGACCTTTAACTAACCTTTGAACTTCTTACCCTTATTTACGGTTGTGTTGTTTTGTTATAGGTGTGTTCAGACAACGACTCTACAAAGACACAGAACAGAGACAGCTAGCCGTGTTCCAGACACTATCAGACAGCTCAAAGTACATCAACGCGGACGGGGATCGCAAACTGTCCATTTCGGTACGTCTCCACTCCATATAGGCTGTTGAGATATGAACCCATCCAAAACACCCAAAGTAAAACAAGCATTATTAGTGAAATGGAAGTCGAGAGTATCAATCCTATGATTTTTAATTTCAAATTAATTTTCAATCCGATACGCACGCAAATACCATGAATATCTCAGAAATGTGTTCATTGTGTTGATGTTCGACATAGGGGGGCCGTAGTCTATGTGTTTGACAAACAGTGTGTATGTCTTATAGATGTTGTACAAATCACACCTACATGTATCTAGGACATTAACAATATCTATCAATACCATTGCGTGTCTTGTCGTCGTCGGTTGAAGTTTAGTGTGTTGTGAACAAAACACTTAGTAACGCTGAGGTTGTCAATAGAAACCCTATGTGCGTGTTACTAGTAGTTTATGTTGTACTCTTTATTGTTATAGGCGTACGCAAAGCAACCCGACCCAGAGAATCCAGACGAACGATTCTTTGTCATCTACAGAGTAGAAAACGGAAGCGTCTTTCTTCAACCCTACTCACACAAAGGTAAGCGTGCTTATCATTTCTGTGATTTATAAGTTTGATATCCACTTATACATTCTCTACTATTGTACCACGCCCACGGTTGGTTACGTTATACGGAGGCGGGGGTTTAATAATATTGTCAAATATAGGAAATATTTCATTACCGTTATTGATACAATGAACCGCTAACCTCAAGCGGAATAATATTTAAGGCGCCGCCTTAATGCGGTGACTTTTGATAACAAAAAAATTAGATAAAGATTTTCTGGCTAAATAAAACTGTCTAATTTTAAGGCAAGTTTGTAAACGTGCTGATAGCAGTTCAACTGTTAAATATCGTACTGTAACAGCCATATTAACCACCTTTATTTATTTTGTAGGATACTACATGCATCACATCGATAACTGCCTCTCAGTTCGCAAGCTAGAAATCAATCTGCGCCCACCGGAGCAGTATTTCTTTCATGTTATGGAAGCTGAGGTTCCGGAAGTTGTGATGTCGAGCGTAGCAAAAGCGGAAAATTTGAAAAACCTGCGAAACGAACTTGTTCCATCAGACAGAAGACATCGAGAAAAAATATTCACCCGGGAACGAACAGTTCAAAAGCCAGGACTATTTTTCGGATGCTTCGGTGTCCGCTCAAAGAAATCCCATGCGGATAAAAAGGTCAAAGTTCATCGATGAAATAGGTGTTTTCATTTATGAAAAATAGCAAAAAACTGAGACGTGGTCTCTTTAACAGAGAACTAAGTATCACCCAAAGATACATATGGCTTCCCTTCATAGGGACCGAAAGCTATACAAACGTGTCTGCGCATGCTCAGTGAGTGAACATGCGCAAAAGAAAATGACATGCCAAAGACGGTTGTGATTTGAAGCAGAAACTAGGATGATTTTTGTGTCCATTAATGACTAACCAAGGCGAGGCGGTGATTGATCGCGTGTGATCAAAGTTCCAGAGACATTCAGTGACATGTGCAATAGACATCATTCCATATTATTATTTGTGATCACATTTATTTGTAACATTTCACCTTTATAATCGTAATCTCAAGGTCATCTTCAAATCAGGACGGCGCCATTATAAAGTTCTGTTAAGAATGCGCTTTTTGTATACATCCTGATATAATCTAGAAAGGTGTCAAACTCAACGAAGATTGCTGCCACAGTAATGTATATTTTTTGCAATTGTGCGCGTACCTTCATACTGTTTGTTTAAAGATGACGTTGCCATTCCAGTAAGTTATGTTTTGTGTGTATATCCTATGGGTTTAGTACTGTAACGGACATGGAGACAATGTCTTCTGTGATAATGGTAGTTTTAGCTTTTAGACCATTCCGAGATAAGTAATCCTGGAATATCAATAGGTAGACATTAATGATGACGTTTGACTAGCATAAGTCACATATCTTGCCATGCTCTGCCTTGACAAAAGGTTAATAAGATCTTACATGTTCTTTTAATCTTGAATACAAAAAAGAAAGTAGGTTAGAATATTTTTTATAAAAGTAAAACAATAAAGTTATTATTTGTTTACATGTGCATTGACAGTGATATTAAACCGGACGTGTTGTACGTCACCGGTTATTAAGTCACATTATAATTTTACAATCAAGCCATATTTTTCATGTGTTAAAAAAACCTAATAGTTACCGAATGGATAAAAAAAACACCGAAAAGTTACCTCGGTGAAGGTGAAGGTCAACTAATGAGTTCAATAATCAACGTTGTTATAAGCTTTATTACAGAGTGTTTGTAAGCTATACAAGATCAAGTGTATAAGAGTTGATAAATACCTGGGTTTGGTTCTTTAATAGATTATGGTTAGAGTAAAACATATTACTGTCAAATCTGCTGCTTCCATAATTTGGACATCATGTATACATATATATATATATATATACATATATTGGTGGCTTACCCGAGCACAATATCCTAAATATTATTCCAGAATTAAGACTAGCTCAGTTTACCCAGACAGCCATGTTAAATGCTATTTGATATTAAGCAAAAAATTCAGATTAACCCTTTCATCCTTTTGTAACTTTAGTAAACTCTTCCATGTATTGATCTGGATTAGTCCATTATGGCCCATAGTGGTGAAAAGGTTAACGGTTTACGACTAAACTCGTGCGTTTTACTCGTATTTGTATCTACCTAAAGTTTCGATTAGTGCATTGGACCTGTAGGGAGGTTTTAAATCTAATTAGCATCTAATATAGGGACACTTGTTTTTACCAATTTGTTTTCGCGGATAGATACAAAAGATCGAGTTGTTTTTTAATATTATTTTTTACATACTAAAAGTAGTCCCTGCCTTAATTTCTACATTGTTTCGCAAAAGAAAAGCGCTTTTATTGATGATTACATACCCATCAGACATCATGTTTGTTCCCTTAAAGTATTATGCAATCAAAAAGGACAATCTGTGATCGTAACAACTGGTTGACGGTCAGTGACGTTGACGTTCATCTTGACCTAAACCATATCCAAAACTTCGATAGACAAGTGAATGAAAGTTGGTGTTTTTGATATTTTGTAGAATTAAGCAAGAAACATAACAAGGGATCTTAGCTATTGTGACTGTGTAAATTATGTGTTCTGTTTCGTCCTGTTTAAATCTCAGACATTTTCATTATTTATTTGTCAGAAAGACAATGTTTTCCCATAATTTATTGCTTTAACTTTATAAATGTTGGTACAAGGAAGAAAGGAAAATGATATTTCTTTGATTTCTTTGTTTTATTAATAAAATATTAAAATGAACTCATGTCTTTGTTGGTCATTCTTGGAGTTAAAGGTGACGAGAACTAAAATGTACTTGTACATATTGTGCTGCTAGCGTGAGGATGCGCATTACCTCGGGTTTAAATTCCATGAAAGGGACTGTTTTCTATTGTGACCTTTTGAAGTCAGCATGCTGTTTAAGGGTGATAACTGTTAAGTTTTATGTAAGTTAGGTTCGATACACCAAAATGTGACTGTCTCTCCTCTCTCTATACATATATCTCTGTAGAGGCGCCTTTAAATCCAGAACGAGGCTGGCATCTATATCTCCATACATACTGAGAATGAGTTAATATGTCAAATTATGAAGATTAACTATTGAATTTACTGTTCAAAATTTGAGTACGAATCTCTCGTCAATGTGTAGATAGACACCTACTCGAGAACAAGTCTTCTATGTTTAAAAGTCGGTGAAAACAAGCCGGATATATATGTATATAGGTACAGTATTGTGTTTTATTTACTCTTGGATGACGTAAGCTGTCATCTATATTAATGACTTAACTGCTTGATAGCGAGGCTGTCATCTATGTTAAATGCTAAAACCCCATATATAAGGTTGAGAAAGAGATTTTTATCTGCATCAACGATGGTTACTTGAAAGACTCCTGTCTGAGGACGAAGCTGCCATCTATATTTGAAGTTTATTTATTAAGCTGCTCGAGATCGGGGTTTTCATCCACATGAAAGACACATTAGTCGAGTTTACCGCCTTGAAAGCAAGGCTGTCATCTTTGTTTAAAGAAACATCTGCCTGAGAACGAGCCTGACATATAAGTATAGATAAGTCTTTGACCATTTCTCACTTAATTTGAGAACGAGGCTGACACGTATGTTTAAAATCAGACATAATTTTAAAACAGTTAATTATTTCAGCCGAAATTACAGTGAATTACTTTATTAAGAACGAGACTGTCATCTATATTCGAATATACATCTCAAGGAGTGACTTATTAGAGATTAAGACTGGACAGTTGCCAGCAAAATAAATCGAATTACCTACGTTTATATCATTTCTCTCCGCTAGTTTTCTTCCGTTGATATTAAGAAATGTCAGGGACATCTCATCCTGGTCAGGATCCTAATAGAATGAACGTTGATTGGTTGATTACATCAGCAAATAGGAGTTTCTTCACTACCTCTTGTTTATATCGTAAACTTGAGCGAGATGAAGCATCTGTGTTTACAATGAAGAATTCTGCACTGCAAACATATTAAAATCAACATAAGAAGTAAAAGTTCAAATTGAAAGTTTTTTTCATGTACTATGTTTAGTAACGGGGGCCCTTTTCTAATAATTGATATAAGATTGAAAGTAACGGAGACCTCTAGTGTCTGATTAAAACAGATATTCTTAGTTTAACAATCAACATAAACAGTTAACAGTACGGAGAGGTGTGATCTACAAAATAATGCTGAGGAGCAATACGATATTTTATGTTAACTACAGAAGTTCAGGTTTCTGCAACAATACTAGTCGCCACCTTGGAGGAAGAGAATATCCCCTTCGGAGATACATGTATAAATGTAGGCCAATCTATCTGGCGGGATTGGTAGCCATTAATTGTCGTATTTCGTAAGTCTGGCTAGCAGAGAGTAAACAACTATGACAGCCATTCCAGTCAAGGCTGAAGAAACATATTTTAGTGTTATCGCCTCGGGAACAAAACTGTCACACACTATATGGGTTTCATGAGACATTTTGGGGATAACCTTCTTGAGAACAAATATGTCATGTATGATACGGTAGGGTAATCCGGATTTATTTACTCGAGACAGAGAGAGAGGCTGTCATATTGATAAGAAACACATCTTTCGAGGCTGTCAGACTATATATTTTTAAAGACACTTACATGAACCTGGAGAAAGATAATTATTTCCATGTCAGGGAAACCAATGGCCGATGAAAACAACTACGTAAAGGACTGGGGAAAATGACGCCATACCGAAACGAGGCTAAGCAAATTGAGACCGTGCGGGATAAGTTTCAGGTCGACATTTCAACGAAAGATTAAATAGGGATTTCTAAAACCTCAATCTTACAAACGAATGCATATATGTTCTTCCTACAGGAGGTTATCGGAAACCAAACATATACTCTCCATATATAACACTCGCTGGTGTAGCAGTGTCTGTACAACCCGTCCCTGGCAATTTATTTCGTGTTTAGAAAGAAAACGAAACGAGCTTTACATTTTGCGAATCTGGTAAGTAGGAATTTAATTTGTTTATACAACGATCAATTGCACATTTGCCCACTGTTGATCACGCTCAGACCTGCGCACGATAGTCATGACGAGCTGTGTTTTAATTAGATTGATTTTCCAGAAACAAGATGAACCTCAGTACAACTAAATAAAATTGGATGACAGACCAAGAGAAAGAAGATCTTCACACACCGGGATACACCATGCGATAATGCTGTTAATAATATGACAGTCTGATCTCATAGACGCTTGCAAATTTATTCTAGTACATTGTAGGTGACAAAAACATGTTCTCATGATCAAAGGCGGAAAACAGAACCGAAGCATCAATAGAAAAACAAACAGAGCACAAGGAGACGAAAGACAGAGAGAAAATCTTGCACAGGAGAAAAAAATGACACGGAGGAAAACGTCTTTATGGATTAGAAGAATTTTCCTCTCCGTGTTTATAACGTCGAGAAAAAGTTCTTCTTATCAAAAAAGGTGATGTACTTGTAAAATAAGCGGATAAAGAATAAAAGAAACATTATCATGCATTTTCCATGAAAAAGTTCTTATTTTAATTAAAACAATCGTAAAATAATCACCTGAAATATGGGGGCATAAATCGCCTATTTAAAGGTTAAGATTATAGATGGAGAAAGCCTAGTAAAGTAAATATTTTACTTCACCACGTGACGTTTTAGTTCATTTAGGACACGCTAGGGGTGCTGAAGGTCAAATGAATGAAACACGATGTGTAGCAAAACATTTGTAAAATACAGCGAAAGGAGCTAGGTGTCAAGAAAACCTTTTCTAATGGGCAGATTGGTCGAGTTGTTAACACTCCGGCCTGCCTCGCAGGCGGCCGAGGTTCGATCCCCGAAGTCGTACGCATGGAATATTCAGAGAAAATACAACCCAGGCGGAGTATTAAAGGGTCTGCGGCGGATGTTCATACATAATGAGAAAGTAGCCAGGTGGCATAGAATTAGAAGTTATCGTCTGACAAGGCAGCTCCTGCGAATTCCTAAAAAAAATGTATTGATTGATGTATATGCTTATTGTATTAATTGTATATCTATGTACTGTAAAGCTCTTTAGAGTGGCTTATTCTAGATAAATAGGGCGCTATATAAAATTTGGTATACAGTGTTACTGTATTATTATAATATCATTATAATTACAACTTCTGCCTACATTGTATGTACTTCTGATAGTTCACCATTGAATCCTTCCAGAACAAATTCCAGCTACAAGGCTACGAACGACCTCGGCTACTTATAGTCCACCTGCAGCGTCAACCAACTTGTTACGTCAAGTTGTCTCTAGGAATATGAAACACCGATATGATGCACAGAAGAAACGAACTGTCCATCGTGTTCTGAAAACGTTGAGCCGCCTTGTCAAAGACCGAAGTTCTACAGATGTGTACTGTACTCTAACATGTTCTGTTACTATATACGGCAGTTATTTTAAGCAGTTATCTATGAGAGAGCCATTCTTTTGTTCAGTTGAACACTACCACCGGGGAATTGCAAATCAGATTTTGTACCCAGACAAGTAGGGTACAGTGTACGTGTTAAATTAATCCGAGAACAGTGCCGCAGAAAAGCATAAAATGTCTTGATTGACTGACACCTGATTGAATTATGATTGATATAGAACAAATCTCGTCAACCTGCAGGTTGCTATGTCGATGTCGTTAGTGACACTAAGGGATATTGGTAAAAAGATAAAAGGAAGAATTGATATTTAATGAGGGAACATGCTTGGTGCTGGGATAGCTTACAGCCAAGCAATACATGCATATGTAAATGTCAATACTGGGATCAGAAATTAGACATACTACGATATATCACGATATTCCACGATTCTCTTTCGTTACTAACAACGTGTGGATAATTCACAATCGTGTAACGCATGCACCTGTACGTGGTCATCCACACAGTCTTACCGTAATAGATGTAATAGATATTGGAAATCTGTGTGACGAACACATATCAATAAGATCGTCTAATTGGGGAAGATACAATAGCGAGAACATAGAAGGTCGCTGTCTTGGCTTCAACCCTACAACCTAGCAGCTGGAACTGAAGACAGATTTCAGAGCGCCTTTAGTTTGTTTTAATGTCTCCTCAGTTCCCGTCGTTTTTCTTCTTATATTCAGTGTTTTGTATGTCGTCGCGAGATTCACAAGATTGATTGTCCTTTGCTTTTCAAGCATCTAAATATAGCTGGCACTGGTACAGTACATATGTACAATGTACCTTCGCCCAAGGGGAAACAACCACAATAACAATCCCTGTACGTATTCTCATGTCTGCTATTGCGCAGTCCTTCTAATGTAGTTGTTTTATACCCTTCCGAACTTCCGGTACACCTACTAATACTGTGATATACTGAAGTTTAAGAAAGGTAACTTTTGAACACATTTCCAGAAGTATAATACAAAAGGATATTGAAATCTATAACCGTAGATTTGTGAGTTTTTTTTCAAGATAGTCATTGAAACGCGGTGCTTGCAGTAGTATCCAACCTTAAATATAAAACCACACCCTCGATTTCGAACCTTACATATAAAACCACACCCTCGGTATCCAGCCTTACATATAAAACCACACCCTCGATTTCCAACCTTACATATAAAACCACACCCTCGATATCCAGCCTTACATATAAATCCACACCCTCGATTTCCAACCTTACATATAAAACCACAACCTCGGTATCTAGTAGTATACAGCCTTACATATAAAACCGCGCCCTCGGTATCCAGCATTACATAT